GGCTTGGGGAGGAGTGGCTGGAAAAGGACCTGGGGGTGATGATGGACAGCTGGCTGAACATGAGCCAGCAGTGTGCCCAGGTGGCCAAGAAGGCCAGTAGCATCCTGGCCTGGATCAGAAATGGTGTGACAGCAGGAGCAGGGAGGTGATCGTGCCCCTGGACTCAGCACTGGTGAGACTGCACCTTGAGCGCTGGGGGCACCACAGGATAAGAAGGACATGGAGGTGCTGGAGCGGGTCCAGAGGAGGGCAACGAGGCAGGTGAGGAATGGCTGAGGGAACTGGGGTTGGTTAGCCAAGACTGAGGGGAGATCTTATAGCTCTCCACAAATACCTAAAGGGAGGTTGTAGTGAGGCTGGTGTTGGTCTCTTCTCCCAAATTACTGATGACAGGACAAGGGGAAATGGCCTTAAGTTGCACCAGAGAAGATTTCGATTAGATATTAGGAAGAATTTCTTTACCAAGAGAGTGGTTAGACACCGGAATGGGCTGCCCAGGGAGGTGGTGGGGTCACCAACCCTGGAGGTATTCAAAGAACGAGTGGACGTGGCACTTGAGGCTATGATCTAGTGGTTAGGGAAATGTTGGGAGGAAGGTTGGACTTGATGATGCTGGAGATCCTTTCCAATCATGGTGATTCTATGATTCTAAGTACGTGTGGATGCATTTTGTGTCTTAGTGGATGACTGAAAGTAAATACTGCATTGTTTTTTGAAATACTGAAATACAATACATTGAGCACAACACATAACACAGAATGAATAGAAATATGACAGCAAGTCTTAAAAAAAAAACTTAGAATTTTTTTTAAACAACCCAGATCAACAAGTATATACTTATATAACTGGGGGGGGAGGGGAAACAACACCACCACCACCACCACAAAAAAAACCCTTAGGAGGCTGTTTGGAAAAGAACAAAACCAAAAAAAATACCTGTGAAATGAAGATAGATCACAATAAAAACCCGCTTCCTCTCTGCTGACAGAAATTTGTCAATTGGTAGACTCACAGGCTGCATACACAGAAAGATCACAGTGCAGAGTATGGAAGGAGGAACCATTGGTCAACAGTACACCCCAGTAATATATTTGGCCTGCATGCTTAAATCTGAGGAACTAGTACTAAGTCATTACTCTGAGTAGAGCAGCAAGATGATTGGGCAAGTTGTTTATTTTTAACAGAAAAGAGTAAATGATTATATATACAGGTTATAGACATTGATTCCAGAAAGGACAGTGGTATATTAAAGCATCTGAAGAATTTAAAACCAAGGGAAGAGAGCAACTGCTTAGAATGACCCAGAATATTACAAGTAGGTGTTAGAATAAAGCAAAAGACCACTTAGTAAAATCTGGCTAAGAGTGAGATGTAGTTGTCTAACCCGGAGAGGCAAAAAAGCATCGGCTCATTTCTCTAGCTAAAGAATGTAGGAAGCTAAAGCAGTAGAAGAGATGTTCTAGAATGAACCCATTTTGCATTGCTGTCATATTCATAACACTGGGAAACAAGAATAAATAATTCTTCTGTTGACAGAGGAGATTTATACTATCTTGGAAACTCAGTGTGCATGTCTAGTCTGCTTTTTGTTACAGAAATAAAGTGACTATGTTTTTACTGATGTAAATACCAGTTTACTGCTACTGACATGCAAAAAGGGAAAACAAGTCACCTCAGATTCTAGGGGCAAGCACTCAAAGAAACTAAATATGACAGTTCAGTGGGACTTGCCACTGTTGCAAACCTAGCTCAGTGTCGTTCAGTGATGCTTGGTGTCCACACCCCCTGCCACAGCTTTGTAGTATTGTAGAATCATTAGGGTTGGAAAAGACATCTAAGATCATCAAGTCCAACCATCAACCCAACACCACCATGACCACTAAGCTAAGTCCCCAAGTGCCACATTTACAGTTTGGGGTTTTTTTTAACACCTCCATGCATGGTGACTCTACCACCTCCCTGGGCAGCCTGTTCCAATGCCTCAACACTCTTCCAGTAAAGAAATTCTTCCTAGTATCCAATCTTTTCCTAATGTGCAATCTAAACCTCTCCTGATGCAACTTAAGTCCGTTTGCTCTCATCCTATTCCTTGTCACTTGGGAGAAGAGACCAACACCCACCTCACTACATCCTCCTTTCACGCAGTTGTGGAGAGAGCGCTTTTACTGCTTAATGGGAATCTCTCACGATTGCATTTTTTATCAATTCTAGGTCTGCTGGGAATACAAGATCTTTCCAAACCAGACTATGGAGACCCAGTTCACCTTCACCCTGGTGATATTCCAGTGTTTTGGGCCTGTGGAGTAACAGGAGTAGAAGCAGTCATCAACTGCAGTATGTAGTATGTTTGGAGACCCTTTTAAATGATCCTTCAATCTCTTTTTCTTTCCTTTCCTGTTTTTTTGTTTGTTTGTTTGTTTTTGTTTTTTAATAATGTGCACTGAATGAGTTGGCTCATTAACAGACTTAATTTAGGGTTAGTTAAAAAACACTCCAATCAACTAACAACAAGAAAGAGCATTTGGCAGGACTATTTTCCATTGTGAAATACAGGTCCACCTTGGAGTTCTTACTGAAATTTCATTGCTTTTATTTGAGTATTTTAAAGGCAGAAATGTAAAGATCTGGCAGCATCAAAAGATCTTGTTATTAAAACATAGAAGTTTACAACCATTCAAACTTTTTTCTTTTAAAATATTATTTTGTATTACACTGCAGTAAAACAATAATGAAGGAAAAAAAGCCAAAAAAAAAAAAAAAAAAAAAAAAGAAGCCACAGTCCTTTCCAAAATGTTGTCAAGAGCTAGCAGATTGATTGACCTGGAATACAGGTCATAATTGTCTCATGAACAATTTTGAGCTTTTAGGTTTTGTTCTAAAATGAAGTAAAAGTGACACTTTATATAAATGGAGCTTTGTCTTCTTCAGAAAGCTGACCTGCACTTTATCCAATCATTTGTAACCTCAGCACAAAGGGGGGGGGAAAAAAAGTAACTAAACCATAGTGACAGTATTATATAGTGCTCTAAATCATTAGTGTGGGTTGAAATCTCATATTTTAATTCGTACTGAAAAAGATGCTTAATAATCATAGGCAATATAAGTAGGAGAGCCTTGGGAGGTCATCTGTTTCATCCTTCTCTCCTTGTAGGATCTACTATTTCCTTATGGTTCCTTACAGATGTTTATCTAAACTACTCTCAACGCCTGCTGAAAATATGTTCAGCACTAGGAGCAGAGACTCCTTTTTCTTTCTTATATACAATCCCTTTTCTCCAGTCCCAAACACAGGCTGAAAACCCTGCTCTTTCCTGTGTTCTCCAGTAGATCTATTCATTTTTCTCATGCATCCTTGTTGCAGGAAAAGGAGAGAAAAAATTTGCCAACCTCTACAATCTGTTGCCCAAAGCAGCCGCCTATCCTGCCTTTGCCTAGAGCTGACTTTTATTTATTTCTCCATTTTCTGTATTAAAACCATTTGTCAGTAGTGCTTCCAGGAACCTCTTGGACAGTTTGTTTCTTGCTGTGCTTCTTTCTCAGCTAGGTAATTAAAATTCTGCCATGCCACCAGTACATACTTCAGATGAATCTACTAGCTGCTCACAAAAAAAAATTGTCTATTCACATGGTTTGAAGAGGTATGTTCAACCTCAACAACCATGTTCCCCAACTGCTCTTAAATTACTAGCCATAGACTCCCAACAGATCTAGCACAGACCAACCACATATGTACTTGTTCAAGAAATATCTCCTCCCTTTTCACTTTCCTAACAAAGTAAGGTTTTACTTGTTTAAGTATACTGGTTGTTATTTATCCAACCACATACCAGTTCAGCCAAATTAGGTATAATCTAGATCAAGACTCCTGGAGTTAGTATAAAGACAGCAAATATTTTCAGCTTAGGGAGCTACTATGTTGTTAGGTCTAAATAAGCTTATTTTTCACTGGGGTTTTAGATGCTACTCAGATTCCCTTTGCTAAGGCTTACTGGTCACCTTTTTGTCCTTACACTCCTTACCAGTTTCTAGGTCTCCTAACTAGGCCAGCAAGACACTGTGCAGAGATGCTAGTCTCCATTTCCTTCCTCTGATAAAGGACTACTCCTAGCCAGCAAGCTGACATAGTTTTGACATACCACTATTACAAGGCTATTCCAAAGTACAAGGCTATTCAAAGGTACTATATCTTCCAGCAGCACTCTAGAACCTAGAAATCTGATTTAATCTTATGGAAGCAATATCACCAACACACTATGCAAACTTAAGCATTAACTTGTCCTTATGTCAATGCACTAGTTTCTTCATGCATGTCAAACCCCATTTACAGACTTCAGTACCAGCATTCAGTTCCTTAGTTGCCTCAAGTTTATACCAAAGAGGATACTGTAAAAAAAAAAAAACAAAAACAAAACCAAAAAAAACCCACTGATCTCAACTACCCATGTGAGCTTTTAAAAAAGTGAACATGTTTTCAGATGTGTATACATACCTTTTTTTCTCAAAGTATATAATTACTGCAGTATAACTCAAAATATCACCTGTTTTTATGATGTAAGCATCAACAAAGACAGACTCTGTGTTGTTAAACAGCTTTTTGCAATTTTATTGTTCTGCTATTTCGATATATTGCAATAACAATGTGTTTAATTGAAGTTTTTCTACCCATTTTAGGAGCACCATTAGCTTTTACTCATTCTCCTGGCTGTATGTTCATTACCGACCTAAAGAATGACAATGTCACAGTCACATCCTCAAGAGAAGCCCCACAAGTCTACTGCATTTCTCAAGATCCTCTGCATTATAGTATTGTGTCAGCAGAAGCAGCCCAGAAGATAAAGAATCTGGAGGCACTAATTGGAATAGATCCAGGTAAACTCAAAAACTCTCTTCCTTTAGCAGATTTGTTCTGAGGTAGATAGGTCATATCCTGCTTTTAAAGGTATTAATAAAGTTCAAGAACACTGTAAGAATCTAAAGGCAATTTTAAGATTTTTTGAAATTCTTTGTGGAATACAGTGAGTTAGTATAACTAGGTCCTACATTTTCTGTTACTGTATTTAATGTAAGAGTCTGGCCAAAACTATTCAAACTTACAGGTAATGTAGAATCTGACCTTGATGACTGTACACTCTGAAAATACACACAGGAACATCAGTGTTCACGGATGACTGGAGAGTCCACAGGGAGTAAGAACTGTTACTGAATAAAATTGAAACTGGTATATAAAAGAGGGCACTTCAGCATGCTGCTAACAGCTACACAGGTATTCACTGTTGAGTAAATAGCACATTTCTTTATGTACATTCATGGCTCCTGTGCTCCTGCCACAAAATCCTGGTAGCTGCATGTGCTTTTCAAACACTCCTCTCTGATGGGTGGAATTACATCAAGCTCTGCCGACATATTCATCACTGAGGTGTTGTGTGATGGGCCAAAGTGACCTGATCACCCTAGAAGGTTGAGAGGTAGGGCTGCATCTGCACATGAGGAAGATGAGAGGGAAATAAAGGTAAACCGAATAGCACAGCCACTCCTGAATTCCAGACTGACTTAGTCCCCTCTGTCTGCTGTAAATTCTGATCTCAGTTTCCCATAGATTTTCTGAAATCCTCTGTAGGCAGTAGTGGAAAACAGCTTGTGCCTAGCTCTCCCAAGCTCCAGGTTTGGGCTGTGTGCATGTTTGGATCTGTTTATTTGTACTCACAAGGCCTTTCCTTTTCCCACCCTCTGGAGTTCAACTTGGCACAGTGCCATGCTCTGCAGAAATACAGGACCTAACTTAAGAGTTTGCTCATTTTGTTGCTAAAGGAGAGTACGGTACTTTATCTCAGTTCATATACCCCACTTCTCAGAGGCTACTATTCTCCACTTCTGTTACTTAAGTTTTTGTTCAGAACTTTTTTCTGTATCAACTGTTTATATGTTGCCTGTGTGTTATGTGTGAGGAGCAGAGGGAGAAATGGCAAAGGGGAAATTGAGGACAAAAAGAGGAAAGTGTTGGAGGGAAGTAGAAGGAAAAAAGAGGAAAGGGTGTGGAGGGGGCGGAGTAGGGGGAGAGGTGAGAAAGGTGAGGATGCAAGGAGGCTAGAAAATAATAGTGAGGATTTACCTCTCGCTACCAGCCCATGAATATCAGCACATCATGCTGGTATTGATGGTTTTCAGGGGTGCCAGCAATGTGAAAGGACTGCACTGTGAACTTTTGTTGCTGATGGCCAAGGAGGAGAGAGCAGATAGGAAGTGTTCCAACAATGAAAGACATACACAGATAACACAGTGTGGGCTCTTCAGGGACTAACCCATAAGAAGAGACATCTGTTAATATTCACGTATTTCTCAAGGTCAGATAACGTGGTTCTCTACTACAGGAAGTGCTACAAGATCTTCTAGCAGTCATCTGGAGACCACTGTATTAATTGAGTTTGTAAAGTACCCTGGTAACTTACAATGTCTCTGAAACCTCAGTTCTGTGGTTAATAATTTCATTAAGTAGAATTCATTTTGGAATTAGCTCTTTGCTAGAGGGATAGAGTTAAACTTTTTAGACATGAAGGACTAGCTTGCTCATTTGAAGTCTGCGTCAAAACTTCCATAAGATCTGGGATGCTGTTGCAATCTAGCTTCAGTAGCTACACATAATCTAGCGTGACTGTCACCACAAATTAAAGGAGGAAATAACATGCAATAAGCTCACAGAAAAGGAAAATAGCTAGAAATTTTAGATACAGTAATTTTCAAAATTCAGTTAACTGAAATTCTTAACCTGGAAGCACAGCCCATTAACTTCATTACTCATATCCTACACCATCCTAGGTTTCCTGAGGAAATTACCCCAATTCCTGCCTTGACCAGAGGTTTTTCTTTTTTTTTTATCTTTAACCCATTTTATGTCATTAAAGTACATGGGTTGACCCACACAGAAGGTTCAAAAGGCGAGAGGTATACTGAAGCGCACCGCTCTCTTTAAAAACGCTTTTGTAGGAGATCGGGGTGTGAGTCATCTGTGGCGCCAAGAGGAGCTGCTGAAGGCTTGCCTGTCCCTCTCCCATGCTCGGGCAGTGCTGATAACAACGGGATTTCCTACCCACTTCACTTACGAGCCACCAGAAGAGAACGATGGGCCCCCGGGAGCCCTCGCTATTGCGGCTATATTGCAGGCCTTGGAGAAAGAGGTTGTCATAGTAACAGATCAGAGAGCCATGAATCTGACTAAAAAGATTATTGAAGAGGCTGTTCAACTAGGTAAGACATACATTCTTTCAGTTTTTATCTTGCCAATTTGAGCCGAGGTTTGCTTCAGTTAATCTCACTGTCACTTAGCACAGGATTTTTTTTTTCCCTGGAGGATGAACCAGAGTACATCCTCTAAGCTCTGATCAGTGCTGCTACGATGACATTTTCTTTAACCTAGCTGACATCAAGTTAATGCTTACATGTCTGGGCTATGATTCTGGATTAGCTGTTAGTGATGAATTCTGGATGTCTGTCCTTACTCTTGTGGAATTATTTTCTATCTTGACGTTGTATTTACTAGCACTAACATCCAAATGAGCTTGATTTAAAGTAAGGATGCAAGGAGCTTATCAGAAAGGAACTGTGTGAAGACATGTCTGAAGACATTGAGCCCTGACTATTTTAAGTGATTTTCTTTTTATTTTTCTTTTTTTTTTTAAAGTTCCCCAAACACACATTAAAAAAAAAAAAAAAAAAAAAAAAAAGAGATACACAGTGTCTGAATTATATTTTGTTTTTGTGTAGGAATCCTGAAGAGACCTGTCCCTGTATTTTGTTATCAACGGGAAAATGCTGATTCAGCTTTAATGTTTTTGTGTGAGAATGGGAATCCTGGAAGACCTAGGTATGTGTATTCAGATTTTGAGACTGGGTTGTACCACTACTGTAAAGTTATAAGAGAAGTAATGACCATGATCTAAGAAGGTGTAATGGTTGCAAGTAAATCCTTAAGACTTGGAACAAATTTTGAAGCCAAACATTGGTATTTCAGCACCCACAGAATACAGAATTCCATGTTATTCTGCAATTATTCATTTCTGGAGTAAAAAAAAAAAAAAAAAGAAATTACTTTCTATATCAATAGCTCTTTTACTTTGAAAAAATTTAGAAATTTCTAAAAGCTTTGGCTCCAGTCTAGCAACTGGGAAATCTGATCAGGTTTAGTAAAATGTCATGTATTTGTAATACTGTATAAGTGATCATCGTATTGTCTTTAGGCAGACAAATCCAAAATTATAGATGTATACATTCACTTGCAGTGTTGATTTGAACTGTTTGCATACACACTGTTGAGTATACAATGCTGGGCAAAAATTCAGAGTTATACAAAGTGTGTGATTAGAGTTAATGCACTGAAGAATATGCTGTGTAGTTGTACACACACTTCATTACTTAGCAGGCAACTTAATTTCCTTTAAGTAGGCATACATTGCTCATTTTTATTGATCCTTCCTTGTAAAGCACTTTAATGTAGTTGCCTTCTATTTGTTTTCTTTAATAAAAAGATCTTTCACTCTGGTATTTGTTTCATCAGTTCCCATTTCTTTCTACAGGTTAGTGTGTGCTCTAGTTATATACTGTAATAGTATGTATGATACCATCTTAATTTTTTATGCATTGTTTTAAAAATATGTTTTATAGCTGTGAGTAATATAATTACAGCCAGTTTCTATTGCAATCGGTCCCACAGTCCCCAAAAGCTAAAGTAAGTGTTTCTTTAAATTAGACAACTAACCTGCCTCTGGGCAAGTCCCTGGGGTCACTGTAGATGCCCACTCAGAAAAACCTTAAGTAATTTAGCAGAATTAATAACCTCTTGAGAGTAAAGCTGGAGAAACAGAAACAAAATAACTTAATTCTAACATACAGTGGCAGAACCGAGTACTAAAATTCTGCTTTAAAAGTAGGACATCTGCAGTACATCTGTCTACTTCCATAACTAGCAAAATAGACATGGTCTTAAAGAAAAATCCCCCTCAATCTGAAGACCCAAACAACAAAAAAAAATCCATAATTAAAAACAATGAATATTTGCCAAGCAATGTACTTTAAGCAGAGACTATATTTGCACTAACAAGGATTTAGATCATTAATTTGCCACTTTTTTGTTTTCTTTGAAAACACTTACAGAGACTAACATCTTAGAAGATACTGGGTTTTTTAGCATGAAACAGAGCAACACCAGATGGCTGACCCAAAGGATTGCTGGTTAGGAGCATCTCAAATGTGGTTTGAGGGTTTTAGTTGCACTAAAGCTATAAAGAAACTAGACTAACCTCTAAAAATAAACTGTAGAGAACTACATTCAGAAATAACAAAACAGTAGCCAAGTTTTACCTTGAATCCCAAATGGTCAAAAAGTAGAACCAAGCACATCAGGAGAAGCAGCCAACAGAAGAGTTTCTTTGACAACTTTGACTCTTCTCCTTTGTTTTTTTTTTCCACTCATCTCTAACCAGATTTGATCACCTGATAGCAATAGAACGTGCTGGGATGGCTGCTGATGGCAATTATTACAATGCCAGGAAAATTAACATTAAACATCTCGTGGATCCCATAGATGAACTATTTTTAGCTGCACAAACCATTCCAGGAGTCACGACAACAGGTATATGTGTATTTGTGTTATATTCTCAGATGCAAGAGAAGCACAAAACAGGAACACTTACTGGAAGTGAAGGGCAGCAGGAGGCAGGTGCTGAATAACTGCTTGCAAGCTACAGCTGCCTGTTGTGGTTGAATTTAAAGAGACCGTTGCTAGAGAAAAATTACCAGTTTCTATTGAAGGGTTCTTACAAGGTTTGATTTCAAAGTTATTTCAAGACAAAAAAGCAAGGCCAGGTTGGTGTATTATCTGTACATCAGTGTGCATATATACACTTCTCTAAGTGTTTCGACACTGACTTTATTCTGTATTTTATGTGTGAAAGGAGGCATAGAAAGCAAATGATGATTGAATGAAAACATTACAAGTTAAAATATTATAGTTATTATTCTCATTGTTATACCTGTGTTAAACTTGCAGCCTGGATAGAATCTTAGTCTATTTTGTCTTTAGCAGTACATTCTGTTAAGAAGGGACTGCATATTTTCATCTACTAATAGTGCCTTCTCTAACAAAATATGTGTACAGTAATAATCTTTAAAAGAGCACAGTGCCCTTCCTGCCAAAATTACATTAGTGTTGACTAATACATCTAATAAAAATGCATTTGTCAACATGGTGTTTCTCTCTTTTGTCAACAGTTCTTTTTTTCCTGAAAACTTACTTGTGTCTGATTTAGAAAGAATATGCCATAGGTCAAGGTGTATATATACAAGTGTCATACAATGTCTTCATGCAATGGAATGCTTCCTGCCACACTGTGTGACCCAAAATATATATAACCTTTATAACTATTAGGAACTGATTTACACATAAGTGTCACAAAATTAGAAATAAGTACCCATGCCAGGATGATCTCAGTCACACCAGAACATGTGTACTGATCTGGCTTTTTTTTTTTCCTTCTCATAGTGCTGTGGACTCACACCTAAGTAGTACTAAAAACACAGGAACTTTGACTTCTTAGTACTGTTGTTTTTCACAGGTTTCCACAGAATTTAGAGCTCCTGTAGAGATAATGCATAGTCTGATTTCATTGTATTGGAGTCATTTAAAAGCTGTATAGCAGAAGAGTTCACTGGTAATTTTTGTATTATCTTAAAACTTAAAATACATTTTACTTAGATTTAATTCAAATTTTGTCCTGTTCCAAAGGAGTAACTTTCAACATTAAAAAAGTACTCTAGATGGCACTCTGTTGGCAGTTTCAGCAGAAAGCCAAAGATTGAAAAGGATAGAGAAAGCTCTCTTTCATAAAGAAGTTCAGCAAAATGCCTCAGAGCTTTATCTGCTGCAGTTAATTTAAATTCCTGTGTCTGATTTTAGATTGTTGATACAAGGACATGGTCTCTTCAGCTACTTATATAACATGACATCCTGATTCCTTTAATAAAAGTATCTTAATCTCTTAAAATATCTCCCAGAACAGCTCAAAGTATACTATTGATTTGGCAGAGTTTGGAGTCTTCTGCAAGGTGAGAATTTGCGTCTGTTCAGCAGAATTTAGTTTGTTTTAAACATTTTCTGACTATTCAAATGTACTATAAAATGTCATTAATTAAAAATACCATGGGCTTGTGAATAAGAAGAAAAGCATTATCCAGATTCAGTGTGTCCCATTGCTGTGAATTTTCTCTGAAGAGATGTCTGCGTAGAAAATTATTTAACGAGTCATAGGCTTCCAAAGATAATGAAGGTATCTGCTCTGATTTCCTATGGAATTTGTGTACATGGATAATCTATGCTGGAGAAGTAATTGAGAATTTATAGAAAAATAATGTGATTGTTTCTTATGTTGTCTGTTACCTAGTGAACGTTTCCTATTTTGCTCATCACACTGACCTTTTGTATCTGTTCTTTAATTTGATTATAATTTCTTGGGATGGCTGTTGTTTTTATCAGAGTATTTCTGAAAAGCCTAGCTGAACAAGGCACGAATCTGGGCTGTGGCCTTTGTGTCCTGTCTCTCATTACTGACGATAATGTACTGCTACTGCTTATGAGAAATTTTTCTGGCAGGGCCAGCTTTGACTTTCTTCATGGTCAATAGGAATTTGGAGGCATGTATCTAGTTCCAAAATAAAATGCTAATATTGTACAGCATTAGGGCAGGGTACACAGATAGCTTTATAGACTAGAAAAGGACACTAGAAAGATTAAGTTTTCAGCCTTACACAAGTGTTTGCAGTGTGCTTAGTGGCACGAAGTACTGTGTTAGTAGGCAGAGAGGGGCCATGTTAGAACATTAGTTACTTGCTGATTAGCTCATGTCAAGTCTTGCATTTTAAACAAGATCTGTGTTTAAAAAAGATATGACCTAGGAGTCTGACCACAGACAAAACACAAAGAATGCCTACAATTTTATGGATACTGCTATCTTAAAAAGTCATGAGATAAGCAGCAACCTTCAGAAATATGAAAAATAAGAAGACATCAGCAGCGGAGTTTAGAAGGACTCATTTTCCACAGAAGATTGAAATAAAAGATGAAGAGTTGTTGCCGAAATTGCATGCTATTTTTTCAGCTGTCATACAATTGATATAGCTTAGCTATATGCTATTTATATAGGAGCTAATGAAAAGCTTTCCGAAGTACTGCGCAAGAAAATGTGGTCGCTTGTTTCCCTTTCATACAAATATTTTTTCTAGCACAGAAGGCTGACATTTCCTGCATTTTTCATGAATGTAGTTTCAGAAACCAATGTAGTCAGTGAAAACTTGCATGGAGGAACCAGCAGAACTGTTTTTCCTCTGCCTGGAGAGCACTTGGGACTTTAAAAGAAGAGGATTCATGTTGTCTATTCTCAGGCATCTATATTTGAGATATCTGCCATGCGGTGAGATGAACTGAATGTTTGAAGGGTCTGTTTACTGATTTTAAAAGAAGTCTGGCTGACTGGCTGTCGTGTAGATGGCTGCATTTCATCAGGTGAATCTCAGTCTGGAAGTCTACAGTAAAATGTAATTTTGTGCCAACATGTAGAGGAAGAAGAAAACAGAAGATACAGGAAATTTGTTTCAGTGTGGTTTTCTTTCCTGCCAGAGTAATGCTAATGGGATCCATCCACAACAGTTGATCTACTAAATGCATAATCGTCCTGGTGACAGACTTCCACAAAGACAAGAACAAGGCTGACACAAAAAACACTGAGCAACAGATAGTATCTTTCAGTTAAAGTAACTGTTGATGATCTTCAAAAGACAAGAATTAATTTTAGTATTTTAAAATAATATTAAGAGCAAAATTTTGGATTTTGAATGTAGGAAGAAAAAACCCATTTTGTGGATTCTTACAAAACAGTAGTAACCACCATATTTATATATGATGACAGAGGCATGATTATGTGGTTACCTGTTTCAAAAGTACTATCAACAAACAGATTTTAGAAAGCACTATTAAATCCCAACACCAAAATAAATGTGAATAGGTTATTAAAGCAGATAAAAGATTAGCTCTTCCATGGCAAAGCAGAGCAGATAAAAGATTAGCTCTTCCATGGGAAATCTTTTTATGCAAGTTATGTGTCACTCAGTTACGCTCCCTTTGACTACATATACTTAAGGAGTTAAATAAAAAAGTGCTGCTGAGAAATAACTTTCAATTTTACTTAAGAAATTTTCTACAGGCTTATGTGGGATATTTATGCAGTTCCTAAAAGTGTTATATTTATCTGTTTTCAGGCATGAAGTGTAAATTATAAATGCTGTAATTCCTCTCCTGTAACACATGCTATGCATTAAAGCACAGGCGCATTTCGAATTCAAATACCACACATTGAAATGAGGACTTGGAGCTCTTCTCTCCTGTTTCACACTGTTCTGTTTCGTGGACATGAACTAGTATTTTTCTATAAGATTTTCATACTTCAGAAGATGCCATTTAGACTAATGAGTGAAAGAGAATTGTCCATTTAAATATTTTTTTTTCCCTTTTTGTTTTCTTTAATACATTGGTAAAAGACTAGAGGTACTATCCAGCTTTAGTGTAAGATGCTAGCTTATGTGTTATCCACATCTCCAGCTCCCTGAATGACATCTAACAATTTATGTCCCACACATAGTATTGCCTAGAATTTTCCTGAAATGACATATGTCCCATGGTCTTCTCTGAAATCACTGAGACAAATACAGTGTTTCTAATTGACCGATGAAAGTCAAGGCTCCACAGCCTGAATATATGAACACTTAAAAAAAAAAAAAAAAAAAAAAAGCTAGCTTTTTTTTTCCCCCTAAATTGCTAGAAAAAGATTAAAACAGTAATAGTACACAGCACAGGACTCTGACCACTGTGACACAATGGTAGTGACCTGTATGGAGCAGACTGTCAGTGCAGTAAGTCCTGCTTCTGCCAAATTCCTTACGTATATTTTTGCTTATCTTTCTGCAGGAATTGCTACTTTTAGTCTCTATTTTTCGTTAGAACTTTTTAAAAACCAAAGTTTTCTATGCTTCCTTTGTTGTAGAATCATAGGCTAATTTCTGCGGTTTAATTTGGATTTGTTTTTTATCTTCTTTATTTGTGCTAATATACTTACAGTAATGCATTATATAGAACACTCATTTCAGACCTTCTGTAAGGAAGGTTTACTGTCTTAATTCTATGTGCAGGTCATGAGCACTTAATTTCTTTTGTTTAATTTTGATTTCTTTTGCCTGCACCAGTAGAACACATATTGCACTTGTACACTTACGGGTTGGCATGTGTGAGATGATGCTTTCAGCTATTTCATTCACAGTCTTCTGCGTTCAGACACTTTTGATGAAAAAGGATAAGTGGTCTTATATGGTACTATGACTCATCATAGCAGCTCTGGGGAAGACACTGGATGCTTTGTAAATGAATTGTTACTTATAGGCTGGGTTCATACTCATTTCGTCTTTTTCTCTTTTAATAAAGGTGTCGGAGATGGAGGAAATGAATTAGGAATGGGCAAGGTAAAGGATGCTGTAAAGAAGCACATAAAAAATGGAGATGTTATAGCTTGTGATGTTGAAGCTGATTTCACTGTTGTTGCTGGTAAGGGATTTTTTGGGGGGGTGGGAGAATTGTTGATGTTTGAGAACAGAATTGACAAAAAAACATGTCTTTCCAAATAATTTATATTGCCTCTTTGTATGACCAAGCAAACAAATCTGTGTCTCTATTACGTCGATTTTCTGGACAGTTAAGCAACTACAGCTCCAGCAGGAAGAGGATGTTCCACAAAGAAAGTGCATTTACTTGAAAATAGTTGGGAAAACTCTGAATATTCTTGAAAAATCACAACTTAAAATAAAATAACAAAGAAGACTGGAGAAGTAATACAAGTGGAAATTAAAATGTCTATGCACATTTGAATTTTCAGTATAACTGAGGAGCTTCTGTGGGTGTGACCCTGCCAGGGTCATCAGTCATATTGTTCTTACATGGAAAGAGATGATAATTCTTTTCAACAGCCATTTGAGGACAGATGTGTGGTCCTAGTGTACGACAAAAGTTGTATATGCTATAGTTAAAATACTCTCCTACCCTAACATCTTAACCAGCACAAAATAAAATTGCAGTGAAAGAGGCATGTTCAGAAAGGAACAAATTATGAACTGAATAGTCCATATTGTACTTAAGCTCAGGTTTCTAGGTTTCTAACCTAGATATCTAACAGTCTTGATACTAAACCAGCAGTTCTGGGGGAGAAATGAAAGTGTGGTGATTACATCTAATTCTTATAGCTATATGTATATAGTATCTGAGGTGGCTGTTCTGGTAATTCTGATGATTTTTACTTTGAAAGCAGCTGTCACACCCAGACCCTGCAAAGGGAATTGAGGCACAGCTTTGGATATGTCTAAGTGGGGAAAACTACATGCACCAAAACAGTTTCCAAAGTTTTTGAAAATTTTGCTATTCTGCATCTCTGGAAAAGGTACCAGGCAGCAGAGATAACTTCTCACAGCAAGTTTCAAATATAAAAATCTCCATTACAGTCTTGACAAAGAAGCTGCCAAACAAGACTATGTGGACTGGTTTGATAACAGCGTACAGAAAATTTATGGATATTTACTACAGTAGAATGTGTCTGAGACAGACAAGTAGTTTCACTGTGGCTTCATATCTTATAAAATAGCTGAACTCTTTAATCAGTCCTAAGGGATTCTCTGCAATGGTATAGCACTCAGTGACAAAATCTGACACCAGTAAGAATTTGCCTTGTTTAGAGTACTTTATCAAAATCTCCTACCTCTGTGTACTTAAAGCAAAAGACACCAGGCTGTAACACAGCTCCTCACAGTTCATGGACTTCACATTAAACCAAGTGGAGTTATGTTATAGAACATACCCATCTGAATTTTTCTCTTGTTGGACAGAGAAACCACAAACTAAACTGGAAACTTGCAGAAATTCAATCTGAAATATTACTGAAAACATTTTAATATGTTAAGCAATTGTATATTTCCAAAATAAACGTTCCAAATACATGTGAGTATTTGATTCATATCCACATTCCATTTCACCATTGCTGCATGAGACTCAGTTGTACGTGCCTGAATGACTTAGGCAGGCTAGGTAGCTTTGCAGTAACTGTTGTTGGGGTTTCTTTACAATTTGGCTTCGTGTTGACTTTCTTTTTCAGGAGTCTCTAACTGGGGAGGCTATGCCATTGCTTGTGCTCTGTATGTTCTCAACACTTGTGAAACACATGAGCGCTATCTGAGGAAAGCTGTTGGGTTTCCACGGCTGTCCAAGAAGGAGGTGTGGCTATCGGCACTTCCTTCAGTTACCAAGGTAATTGCTGGAGGGTGAAGAAGCTGTGACTTGCTCGTGACATGTAGATGGAAGAAGTTACCAGCCATTAAATCCTACCCAGTCCAGTCCAAAAGCTTACTTTCACATGGTCTTTCAGGAACCCCTGGTGAATGAGCAGCCACACTTAGAATATTCCACAAAGGATTCAAGTCAGGCTGAACATAAAAATCCTCAAAAATTTATGTATTTGTGTGCTGCAGCTTCAAGGACAAGACAGTGCTACAATTTTTTTTGGCAGTGCAAGAAATCCTTGTGCTGCAATACAGGGATTAAATTCCCTGGTCACTTCTTTAGCATCCTTCATGATTTTGTAAATCTCTGTTGTAGCCTCCTTTTGATGTCTCTCTTCCAAAATCAAAAGTCACAGTCCTAATACAGAAACCACTCCATACTTCTGATCTCTCCACCTTTTCTACTTCTGTTAGGAACTTTCTATAATTATTTTGGAATATTTCTAATTTAAAGTTGGAGAAAGAGTTCAGGATGAATATTTTAAAATGTGTTTTGACTAATGCAGCTCTGAAAAGTGTGATATTCTGGGAGTGCAAAAGCTTCAGACTGAGAAGAAGTAAAATAACTGAGAGGGGTGAGAAGTGACTGTGATCTGTGCTCATCCTGCTAAGCACATGGCTATATATATATATATAAATATACATATATATATATACAAACACACACACTCAATGATCAAGTAAGGTTTGTTCCATTTTTATAATAACCTAAGAACTTCAAACTTCAGTTTTATTGGCAGAGTACCTCTCTAGAGACTTGGACAAAACCTGTAAGTTTGTGACCTCCAAGAATGCTAAGTAAAATCTAATCCACCTACCATAGACACTGCCCACAATAGTGGAGTATTTCCCCTGAAATGACAGTACATTCTGCATGAAATTCCAACAAAGCTCCTCTTAATTATTTCAGACTAGTTCTTATTTTTTGTTAATTCTTGCTATTTTGATTTTTCATCTAAAGGTGATAAAACTGAAACAAAAGTTTAACATAACCATATAGCCACCTATCCTTTGACTTAACAAAACGTAGGGCAGCTTTCAGTGCAATCTGTTCCAAAAACAGATCAATTACTTTTCACTTTTCAATCTTTTTTTTGAGTTACATCTACTGGTTTTGAACTTTAATTTAACATATCCTAAAAATTACTGTGATCAGAATTCCTGGTAATGAGATACTGTAATTAGACGTGATATTGTGTACAGGAAATCCTTCTTGTTTTTGTTTTATGAAGCTATACAGCTGGGAATATTGACAATGATCTGATAATGAGCTATTGAAAGTGCAATACTAAGGTCTATTGAGATAAAATTAATGGAAACAGTTTTGTGGAGGAGAGAAAATTACAAAATGTCTGACGAGTCTATGGTATCTTTAATTATAAACCACACAACAGTAAACAGTGTGAAGATTGAACACATTAGTGTTCACATACTCCATTAGTATTAAAAAAAAATAAATCAGACTCTTGGTGTTTATATGGCTACTTTCTTCCTAAGCCAGCTTCTTTCAATGCTATAATAATTACTGTAGTAAGATAAAGATCACCACCACACATACCTACCTCGGTGTTTATGTTTGTCTGTTTGTAATTGGAAAGGAGACATCTGAAGGAGTGCCTAAGCCCCAAACAGCTTTCTTATAATGTGCCATCTTTTCCTTCCAAAAATGGCATTCCTTCCATAAAAAATATAGATAATAATTACTAAATGAAGACTTCCCTTGAAACACAAAGATTATTTCTCTGCACCCTTGTCTTCAAGTAGTGTCAGGATTTCTCTGCAACAGACCCCCAGAACTGTGGAGCTCTCCATTTCCACTGAAAAGAATGCTGAAATTGTTCTAAGTACATGGATTAGTCTTTACAAATATTTTTTTAATATGAAATACTGCAAAGCTTTTGTTCCTTGTTGAGAACTCGATGAGCAAGAAACAATTTGATCTGAACAATATTTACTTACCTTTCAGTTGTGGAGCTGAATCATAATTTTGTTGGTTAATATAGTATTGATTTGATTTTTCACATGTTGGTGGTACTTCTACACTGAAGTGATTGTAGGGAA